AACCAAGGAGGAGGAAAACATCTCCTAATCCTCTAATAATGTGTCTATGAATTAGAAGGATTATGTGTGAGAGACTCACTAAAGTCTCTCACTAAAATCACCTTAATAAGGCTAAGATCGAAGTCTTTTCTCTCTCTAGCTCTCTCTTACTTCACCTCTCTTTAAATCTGTCTAGAATGTTCTATTTATAGACTCTCGTGTCACGACCCAGGTGGTGGCTAACTGCTCAGGCGGTTAGGTTTCCTCCCTTGGTGGATTTCCTCCATGGCTTAGGCTATGAATTCCTAGGCTAGGTTGTATAGGGTTGCTTAATATTGAAGCATTCTTTTAAGGCTTAAGCTCTAAATCATGGCTCAAGGAAACCTTCATGGACGGGTTTGCCGTGACAAGGCATATTCTTCTAAAATGGTTGAATTTCTTCTTCTTTTCTTCAATTTATAGATTTAATGATGGAAGAACGGATTGGCTGATTCGGGTGGAGGAACAAATCAACCAAGCTCACCTCTGACTTGGACCATAGAAGCACCCATCAATGGAATAGGTGCTTCGTCAATGCAGCGTAATGGGTTGAAGATGACTTGAGGAAACAGAAAAGTAAGTGGAATGAAACAGTTGTTCGGTGAAGGAGAAACTGAAGCACAATTTCAAACGGTGGTGTTCTATAAATTGGGAAGTGAAATGGAGGCAGAGATTTGGGTGCTGAAATGTGATGCGGATGGGTGGAGATGTGCTAGTAATGGAGCCTAGCTAGGGAGAAAGGCTAGAGGAAACTCTCAAGCTCTCTCTCGGTGACCTTCAATAAAGAAGAAAGTTCTGGACAGCATCAACAGAAAACTATTCTTCATTCAAATCAAAGGTGGGTTACAACCAATGGAGCAATGTATTTAAAGGAGAAACAAAGCTCCTGGTTCACGCCTACAACATTATCTATGATGCAAGGAAGCAAGTGCTAGCTGTGCAAGGGTGAATAAACGTGAAGAGCCACGTTGAATCTGCTGAAAGGTTTATGAANTCAAACGGTGGTGTTCTATAAATTGGGAAGTGAAATGGAGGCAGAGATTTAGGTGCTGAAATGTGATGCGGATGGGTGGAGATGTGCTAGTAATGGAGCCTAGCTAGGGAGAAAGGCTAGAGGAAACTCTCAAGCTCTCTCTCGGTGACCTTCAATAAAGAAGAAAGTTCTGGACAGCATCAACAGAAAACTATTCTTCATTCAAATCAAAGGTGGGTTACAACCAATGGAGCAATGTATTTAAAGGAGAAACAAAGCTCCTGGTTCACGCCTACAACTTTATCTATGATGCAAGGAAGCAAGTGCTAGCTGTGCAAGGGTGAATAAACGTGAAGAGCCACGTTGAATCTGCTGAAAGGTTTATGAAGCTGCTAGTTGCACATGAAAGGTGCTGGATGCACGTGGAAGATCACAATTGGTGCTGGATGCACGTCAGGTTTCATATGGTGCAAAATTATGCCTTTTACTCCTTTGCTTCTCTTGGCTAAACAACTCCTTGGCTGGTTGTTTCATGATCTCCTAGCTTTATTAGACCTCCTTTGAATGGTATGCCCTAAATGGGTTTCCATCATTTAACTCCTTGGATTCATGTATTTATGCAAAACTAGTAAAATCACTACCACAAAAATGTTAATAGAAAACATTTTTTTTGCTATAGACAACTCTTTTTAGGCGCTATCTATTTGAGTGTTGTTTATTCACATACAAAAATTTTGGAAAAAACCTTGTTTATTAATGATTGTCAATAAACAATGCTTATTTTAAAAAGCTTTGTTCATTGATAACCAACAATAAACAATGTTTTTTTTAAATAAGCGTTATCTATTGACAACCATCAGTAGACAACACTTATTATTGGTTTGAATTTTTTTTAATAATTTATTTAATTTTTCAATAGACAACACTTTTTTAAATAAGTATAGTCTATTTGTCTAATTTATTTTAAATCATTTATTTAGTTTTTAATAGGAACTGCTTAAGCACTCTATATTGGTTTGAATATTTTTTTTAATATTTTATTTAATTAGTTATTAATTATTTAATAATTTATTTATTTTAAATAAATATTCTTTAAAAGATGGTTTGAAGGATTTTCTTCAGTAAGCCGCATAGATAGATTATATGGAAGCTTGAATGAACTGATTTCAGACAGATATCTAATCTCACAGGAACTCATACAAAATGCTTACACTAGTACAATAAAGTATAAAGGCACCGGTTATAAATGTTTATAGGCCTCGGTTCTACAACCGAGGCATTCGGAGACGAAGTAAAAAGATGAAGTTTTATGCTTCGGTTATTGACCGAGATAAATAGAAACAGAAATATGCCTCGGTTATCTAAGAACCGAGGCAATAGCGTGTGTGTTTTTTTTTTCAGACTTTCTTCGTATATGCCAACCAAACTCAATTTCAGAATCAGCTCCAGAATCTAACACAACGAAGAACAACCAGAATTTAACACAACCAAGAACAACCAGAATTTAACACAACCAAGAACAAGAAAATCTTAACAGAAATGAAACAAATCCCAGTATTACAACAACCAATAATCGTCAACAATCTGTCTACAGATGCAGCAAAGATTATGAACTCACCAATGTCCAAATTACAACCCACAAATTACAAATTACAATGAAAAAAAAATCAGATTCAGAAACTCAGATTCAGAGATATGAAGATGGATGAAGAAACTCAGAAGCAGAGACGAAGAAACTCTGAAGGTGACCTTCGCTGTGGCCTCCTTCCGCGAATCCTCCGTCCACCGCCACAGATCTGCCCTCCGCCCCTCCATGCGCGCAGATCTGCTCTCCGTCCACCGCCACAGATCGCGCGTCCTCGCCGCCGCTGCGTCCTCGTCGCCGTTGCGTTCGCGGTGTGACCTAGCCGCCACCTCGCCTCCACAGAAACCACCGCGATTCGTAGATCGATGAACCTCCCACCAAACGCCTTAGATCGCGCCTCCCCTCCACTTTCGACGCCGGCCACCATCGCGACTCCCCTCCGATTTCGAAGCCGGCCACCATCGCGCCCCCTTCGCTTTCGACGCCGGCCACCATCGCGCCTCTCCTCCGCTTTCGACGCCCGCCACCATCGCGTCTCATCCTCGCACCGTGGCTGTCAAGTTGGAGAGGAGAAGAGAGATCGCGCCCTCTCTGTTTCTGCCGGATGAGAGTGAGATGAGAGTGGGATGAGGAACGAACGAGAGGGGAGATGAGAGTGAGATGAGAGTGAGACGAGAGTGAGACGAGAGTGAGATGGGGAAGAACGAGAGTGAGACGAGAGGAAAGAACGAGAGGTGAGATGAGAGTGAGATGACTGTCAGAGGAAAGAAGAGGAAAAAGGGAAAAAGCGGGGCAGGTGACCGGGTAATAGGCCTCGGTTTTATCTTTAACCGAGTCAATAGGAAGGAATAGGAAGGGGTTTAGGCACCGGTTTCGTAGCAAACCGAGGCAGTAGTTACGTTATACGCACCGGTTTTGTGTTAACCGAAGCAATATGACTTTTCGACTTCGGGTTGGATGGAAACCGAGGCATATAACTTTGTACGCTTCGGTTTCTCAATAACCGAAGCGTATATGGAGCATCAAAATCTGCTTTTTTTACTAGTGTTAGAAGGTAACTAATCAAGACAACCCAACCCCGTGTAATATAGTTCCCACTATGCGCAGGATCCAGAAAAGTTATGAATGATTGTCAATAATAACATCTAAGGGAGATCAAGATCTAGTACTAGTATTTTGTTCCACCACCCTTAAGCAACACAAAGAACAAAAGGGGGAAAAATAACGAAATTCATTCAGTAACAACTTAATCGCAAAGGGAAAGATTAATTTGAAGCATGACACAAACCTAGGTACTGGCAAAGGAGGTAGGTCCTTCCATTTTCTAGTTTCAGAGTCGAGCATAAACGTACGAGCAGTGGAACCTCTACAATGCGGGCCATATTGTCCAGTGACGACATAAATGTATCTACCATCGGTCACCATTCCCAAATGCGAGTGCGCCATCTCTTTCGGCATGTCGAATCTCCTTCTCCAAGTATTATCATTAAAATTGTACACATCAACATGAGAATGCACCTGAAACCAAACAAAGAGACGAATCGTAATCATTAGAATAGTAACAAAGATAGTAGTTGAGATTAAAAGGGAAAGGAGAGTAGTCAGTTACATAATCGATGGTGGCGTAACCAGCGAAGATGATAGGAGATCGCAAATCTAAATGATGGCTCCGTCAAGGCGAGGAATGGGACACAGAGCCATCTTCTCCCAATGGAGGTTGGGTGCATCCAAATCGGCATAAGCGGCGACGAGGAACCTTCACTAGTACAAAATTTGATTATGAACTCACACCATATGCTTCGTTTCACACCAAACTATTGTCTATTACAGTGCGGTGGCAGACAAGTAATTAAGGCGAGATCATATGACTCGGTTGCATGCAAAGCCGAAACAGAAGCCAGATACTACCTCGGCTTTGTGAACAATCGGTGCCTAAACGCCTGCTGATACGACTGATACGGACTGATACGAGAGCAGGCTTTGACTGACAACTTTATGACCAGCTGATACTACCTCGGGTTGTGACAAAACCGATGCATAAATCCTGAAATATCACCTCGGTTTCGGTTGAGCCGGTGTCAAAACAGCCTTCAGCTTCGAGTCCTTCCTAACCGAAGCATATATAGGCTCAGATATTCCAATTTAAGCATCAGTTTCTTTTAAACATATGTCAGGATTTTCGCCTGAAATCCTCTGCAAGTTAGGCTTTTCGCCTGAACCACTGACAGGTCAACTACGCCAGGCCTACGACATCTGTTCTTCAGGGAACCGAGGTGGTTACGGTGGACTTTATACTTCGGCCATTGCTTTTAACTGGTGCAATATTGTGATATTACCTCGGGTTTTTTAGTAACCAAGGTAGTAGCTCCATTCACCTGCTCGACTTAACCTACACACTTTCATTTGCGTGGCCCAGCACAGCTTCTTCTGCCTATATTTTTTTTCTCTCTGTTGACTCAACAAAAAACTATACTATATCACTCTTCCTGTTTATTCGCCTCTCTCCGATCTATATGTAATTCACTTTATTCTTACTTCAGTTTTGGTCGGTTCATTTTGTTTTCTTGGTTTGAGTTATGGCCCACCGGTGGTGGACGGGGTCCGTCGGTCTTGAGAACTCGGGTGACTCGATGAGGAAACCGGATCTGGGATTTTCCATGAACGAGAGTGCGGTGACTACGAACCACACGGGGGAAGAAGAGGAGGAGAAAGAAAACAGCGACGAGAGCTATTGACGTGGCCAACACGCGCCGCCCGAGGGGTCGTCCACCGGGCTCAAAGAACAAGCCCAAACCACCGATATTTGTCACCCGAGACCGCCCCAATGCGATGCGAAGCCACGTCATGGAGATTGCTAGCGACACCGACATCGCCAACTGCGTGGTCCAGTTCGCGCGAAGGCGCCAGCGCGACGTGTCCATTCTCAGCGGCAGCGGGGCCGTCGTGAACGTTACTCTCCGCCAGCCCACGGCTCCTGGCGCCGTCATGGCTGGCCAAGGTCACTTCGATATCCTCTCCCTCACCGGCTCGTTTCTCCCCAGGCCATCACCTCCCGGTGCCACCGGTCTCACCATCTATCTCGCAGGAGGCCAGGGACAAATCGTTGGCGATGGGGTGGTGGGCCCACTAGTGGCGGCTGGTCCAGTTTTGATAATGCGGTGAACCATCTATCTTACTTAGTTCAGCCAGTTAATTAATTACCTTCTAGACTTTATTTAAATATAACAATAATATTAATATTAATATTAAAAAAAAAGACCTTACTGCCTCGGTTATGGTCACAAGAGGAGTAGAGGTGTACATACTACATCGGTTGACTTGAACCGAGGCGAAATCATTAAACTTTAGGCCTCGATTTAGAATCGAGGCATAAAACTCTAGACTTTTTGCCTCGTCTGTATATGCCTCGGTTCAGGAATCGTTACCAAATGACGAAAATAACCGATGTCGTTTCCCCTGACTGCACTAGTGCTTCCAGAAGCCTCTGACCATGTTTCTTGTGATTTTCGCTTAAATATGATAGACAAGCATAAAGAAGTTTGTAAAGCACTACCACTTTCCTTGGATAGCTGAGCATCATTACCACTTTGATGGCTTGGTCTGCGGAAGAGAGGATTTAGGGATTGCAAGCACCGAATCGAACCCTAAACCCCAACCAGGTTGCGATTTGTTGTGCCTCTCTCCACGATTTCCTCCTATCCTTCAAACTAGCATGTACTATGTTTAGTATGGATTGCTTATATTCTTACCCCATGCTTCACGATGACGGTAGAACTCCTCTTTGGTGACTTCATCACCACAAATGATGAACGGGGGAAAAGAGAATTTACGGATGGATGGGGATAAATGACGGTGAAGAACTTGAATAATAGTGATGAACTTGGAACAAGAGTGAAGAACATTCAATGACAGTTACGAACTTGGAACGAGAGTGACGAAGACTCACATAGAAATTAGGGCTTGCCCGTGAAAAGACTTCGACCTTTAGAAAAAGTGGGACTGAAATTGTAGTGGGACTCCCATACTCAGATTTAAAAAATATTACGACAGGTGTTTATTATCAAAAATTTTCAATCTCTCATGTATTATAACAGGTGTCCATAACTCTTTCATAATACATTTTGAACTTATTTACAAGTTTGTCAGTACATTTCATATTATGACTGATATTCATAACTCCGTCATAATACGTTTTGAAATTATTTACAAGTTTGTCATCGCGTTGCACATTATTACTGGTTTTCATAACTACGTCATAATATATCTTAATTTTATTATAATTTTGCTACTAGTCAACATGGGTAATTTTCACCCGTGATAATAGGTCATCAAATGTTACTTTTCCACTACTTAAGCATTGAGTGATCCCTTAGTTCTTAAGTGTCCTATGTTAATCTATACTGTAAAGGCATTAAGGTAGTCAAATATTAAATCTTAATATTATTACATACATGTCAATACAAGACACCAAAGTATAATGTGCCGTTAAATATGTGTAAAATGAAGAAGTAATATGACCAAAACAATTCCAATATTGAAAATTGTGCGATGAAAATCAAATTGCAATTGTATGGTTGCACGAAACTGCATAAAGAATATGGAAAAGTCAAAAGTGATAGAGGAAATGTGCTATATTCAGAGGACATTGCTAATGTAAAACAATTTTTTGTCACTTCCATCTAATTTCCTCCAAAAAATTGTTACGCAGTTCAATCTTTTGCTTTTTTCAGGCTGGAACAATGACAGAGTTCCTGAATTGGAGATCAATTTTTTAAACAAAGACAATGCAAACAAATTAACTGAGAATTTCTCATAAAGAAAATTATAAATTTTATAATAATATAAATTACAATTTTTTTCAAAATAACTCCTAGGGCATAGGGAAAGATATTCTGAAAAAGAGAAAGGAGTTGGCTTTAATAAAAAAAAAAGGGGGACATGTAAATACGTGGTGCAGTGGTTTGAAGATTTTATCCCATCCATTCTTTTATTTTTCATTTATAGAAGCTTTTGAGATAATATTGTCCATCCACAGCCAAACTAAAACTAGGTTGAATTTTTTTAACATGGATTAACGATTGAACTGTGCCCATGATGCTTAATAACAACATTGAATGAGCCAGAAGAGCTACTATACCACTTTCAAGTTTAGCTAATTAAAAAGATATTTATGACTGCACAATTAATGAGATTTATTCAACAGGGCCCAAAGTGTATTTGGCATAAAGAAAGTCTCAAGGAGAAATGAAAAACGTGCTTTTAAAAAGCATTTAATGTAGCTTCTACTAAAATTTTATTTTAATTACTACAGGGCTGGCAAGATAGCACAGGTTACCACTCCCACCAGGTATGTGTACAGTGGAATATTAATCCCTTCAAGGTATAGAAATCTCCAAAGGAGACTTTACCCGACCTGACAAATCCTTAAATTGTACTCCTTATATTTGAGTTTGGGACTAATTCAAAAGCAAAAAAAAGTAAGAAACCCTAACAACAACTAACATAAACCACACAAAATATGATTTTTGGATACCACCTTGAAAAATGATGTGAATTTGATTCAATCCACTTGATAACCACTCGAGCACTTGAGAAACCCATCAGCTACTTCCTCGTTCCCATTTCTTTTCATTAAGGGTAATGCACAAGGATTAAGAAATATTTAATAGATGAATTTCTAGACTAAATTTGCCTTAATGCCATTTATCGTAATTATAAGTAGTGACAAATTAATACTCCAAATTTGTAAGCATCTCAACTAATTTCCAATAACAATAAATGTAAACTACTAAAATTTCTAGTGCCACCAAACGTAAATGAGCCACAAAATATAAATTTCAGCAAGATTCAATAATCTTTCCAATGAATTTGCATTTTACATGGAAAAAGTTTCCATTTTAGTGCTCACTCTATGAAACATTTCATAGTACTCAATGTGAGAGGCTTAAACATGCTATAATACCTAAATCTCCATAAATAGTAACCCCTTAGATAGACTCTCGTGTCCTCTTGAAATTTAAGTTCGGAGATAATTCAATCCTCAAGCTAAATTAAGTTTGAAACTAACCCAATCCTCAAAATCCAGCTATGAAGTTAGAAGAGTTGTCCCTTATGACGTGATTGTGAAGGCTGATCTGAAGTAACTATTGATGGTCCAGACTGCAATAACTGACCTGGGGTAATCAGAGAAGGGGCTAATGTCTCTGTATGGATAGAAGTTGATGATCCAACAACTGCAGGAGACAACTGGGTCCAGTTTGATAGGGCAAGCTTGAACCTAAAATTGCATTTAGTTTGCTGTTGATGGGTGTGGCACTATAACACTTATTTCTGGACCAGAATTAATCAGCGAAGTCAGTGACGGTAAATGTTTTTAAATGAATGGGATGTTGAGGGATGCTGCGAAGAAAGGAAAAGAATGTGGTGGGGGAGATCGCGGAAGCTTCCTCTTTCGAAGAAAACCACGACGGCAACGGAATGGACTGTGTTTTTCTTTTTCACGTTTCATATTAGGGTTTTATTTTACAAATTTTAGGATTTCGTTTCTTGTGTTCTTGATTCGCCTATGCAGATTTGATTTCACAATTTAGGGTTAGGATTTGCGTTTAAGCTTTTCTGTGATACTGTGATTTGGGGTTTTCGTTTTCGATTTAGAATTTTGTTTGTAAATCTGATTTTCGCAATGAGGGATTTTGGGTGTTTCTTCTCTTTTATGTGATTGAACAAAAGTTTTTACATATTTGTCTTATTGATTCCCATTTTTTTTTACCAAGTACCTTAATTCAAAGAAAGAACTTTGACTTTGAAAAAGAACTTTGAGTTTATGAATCTTAAATTCCCAAAAAGTGATTCCAGTAAAAGAAGCCAAATCCCTAAATTCTTTCAATGCGAAGTGCGAATGAACTCTAATTTTCTAAAATGAATTCCCAATTTTTTAAATTGATTCCCAATTTTTATGACCCTAAACTCTGAGTTTCTTTTCCTAATCCATAATTCAAATAAACTATTCAGTTTAATCCATTTTTTCCAAATGCTTTAAATTAAAAAAGAAAATAGACGTTAGAATCTCCTAGAATAAATAACAAACTAGAAAATAGACGTTAGAATCTCCTAGAATAAATAACAAACTCCACGTTATTTAAAACACTAACATCAGCATGTCATGTATACGTCAGTCTAACAACATTGCTCCAATCTAACGATAGAGGTCTAATTGCATCAATTTTACAAAATTTAAGACCCAATTCAGACGAAAAAAAAGTAAGGGGTCTATTTGAGATTCCCTGCCAAAAAAAGGACCTAGCAAATGATTAAACCTTTTTAAAAATATTATCTATTAGTCTATTTTAAATTATTAATTAATAAAATATTAAAAATTAATAATAGATAGTGTTTTTTTTAAAAAGCGTTGTTTAATGGTACCACGATAGATAAATTTTTTAAAAAAAACATTGTTTATTGGTACCATAATAGATAATGCTTTTTTTAAAAAAAAAAACTTTGTCTATTGTTCCGTGTTTTCATTTATAGCACTTATTTAAATAAATGTTGTCTATTGAGCGATGTCTATTTAGAATTTTGTAGTAGTAAATTGAGGTAGTTATCACAAAATTTATACCGATCAAAACAAGGTAAGCGTTAATTAAACATTGAATTTTATAAGCACTTATCATACACCGAGTATTATCAACCACTTTTGGTTCCCCTACTCAATTCTAATTAGTCTGAGTTTAACCACTCATGGTATCCAAGTATTATGACCACTTCTGATATCAACTCTAGACAACCGTCTATAGCATTTAACTCTCCTAAGCTAAACAATACAAGTGTTTTAGTTTTCTTATCCAAACACAAACGGTGTTTGATTACAAGTACATATTTTAGTAACTCTTAATGAGAGGATAAATACAATAAAATAAAGTTGTTAAGACAAGATCGTCTAGAGAATAGACCGTCTAAGTAATTCATGTTTTTGAAGTTTAACAAAACAATCAAACGAAATATTGTTGGGTATGAAAAACTATTTCAAAGAAATAATATCTAAGAGAAAAATATTTTATAACATTTGTTACAGAAGAAATCAAGCTTATAAATAACATTTTCTAGACTGGATTTTCTGATGAACTAAGTTTATGAACAACCTCTAAGAAAAGAAAATGTCT